TTTTTTGTCGAATATGACAATCCCTTTCATTGCCGACGGTGAGTCCGTTTTACAATAGGAAAAATCGGGTGTCCCATTTTTAATGCTCACGACTGTACATACAATAATGAAGTTTCATAATTTGTATCTGTTAATTAAACGTTTTTTTTTTCTATTTCCAAACTAGGTATGTTTTTAGAAAAAAAAAGCGACTGATTGTTCTACGTTTAATTATCTTCAGTTACTACCAAAACTCATTTATTGCCATATAAGATGTAACATCTTGTATTAATGGCTAGTAACTTGTTTCCGATGTCCTTACTTAAAAATCTACTTTCACGTAAGGTGTGGTTCCTTTTAAAGACAACGAAAATGAAAGTGACGATCGTCGTCATCCTAAATGTAAAATACCATTGTTAAGGATCATTGTAAATGCTACAGGTACCACACTTGGCAATTTAGCTCCTGCAGAATAAATCGTTTTCACTTTTTTCATGAGAATTTTTTTCAGGTCCGACTTATAGTCCTTTCTTTTTAAACAATTTACTACTTATAATTCACTCATCGATATCGTCTGGGCTGGTATTTTTCCCCATTATTTATTGAGGACACAACGACAGTATGCAATTGGATTTTTAATGCAAATTAATAGCTCCAATAGGTCTTTTCTTTCTATTCAATTGAATTTGAGTACCTATTTGATTTATATGGGTCAAAAGACTATTCAAAATAAGACATAAGAGGCTATTTGCTCCTTTTTTTTTTAAACGTGTTGTGGGAGCTGTCAAAGGGAGAAAAGTGCAATATTTTAAATAGTCCTCAATATTTTGCACCAATCAAAACCCGCATATTTATCTGTTGGACTTTCGTAAATCACAGCATGGCAAGAAGGCAAGAAAGCAGCCAATAGAAACCGATGGATGGTCACGTCAGCATCCCACACAATGTGATTTTCAAATCAAAATTTGAGGTCAAATAGGTAAACGCGAAAAAATATTTTTCGGCCTAATTTGGATTAGTCTTTCAGATAAGCAAATGAAAAAAAAAAAAAAAAAAAATAATGAAAAAGACCCATTGTATAAAAATAAGCTGAACTGCAAGGGTTTTGATATTGTGTAGCCTGTAAATGTTGTATTATAAATTCTGGTAAACTTTGATATCTATCGTTTTGTTTTTTTTTTTTCGAAACCAATCGAACTTTTTGAGAGAGAATATTTCACATGCTGTTTTATCATAAAAATTATTTATTTTGAAAAGGGAATTCAGCAATTTTCATGGTAAGTTCACCGTAGTAGTGGACCGTGATATAATTCGAAATTCAAATAATCTTATATCTTCAAGGAATATAATGTAGCCATTCTATCAATATTTTCAATAAATACTGATGAGATAACTACAATTTTAAAAAGGAACCCTATCTGTATCGGCAGGGGCGTGCCGAGTTTCTTGGGGCCCTCCCGCGAGATTTTCCTTGGGGGCCCCGAACAGTTTCGGTAAAAATAAAAGTGTTGCCGGTGTGAGCAAAATTATGGTGCGTTGGAGTCTGGGGTGGAGTAAAAATTAAACGATTTTATATAAAGTTATGTTTCAAGATTTTACGCTAAATTATCACTATCATTTCCAAAGTATCCGATGGTTGCAAAAATTGAGAAATCTTCGATTTTTTTGAAGATTTTCTTTAACTGATACTCGAACTGACATAAGTGGAAAAATATTTTGTGTGAGAAGAATACCTTGTTTAATTTGGGGGCCCCAAATATCCCGGGGCCCTCCCGCACCGCGGGCCCTGCGGGCCCGTCAGGCACGCCACTGTGTATCGGTCCTGAATTATTGCGAAGATCCTTTCTCCACTACTTTCAATTCATGGGGAAAAACGCATTGAAGAATGGCTAATTAATGTCGCAAAGTGCTGCAATAATTTTTGTCAGCCGAAAGGAGTTTCTAGCAGAAATTGGATGTTGGATCCATTGAATATTACCACAGTTTTCTATACGGAAGTTGCTAGTTGTACCCGACCATTTCGCATTGCACTGGTGCTAAGTTTTAAAATTCCGGAAGGTAGAATCGCGCGTTGGTTGCAGAAGTAACAAACCTACGACTCTAAAATTTGCCTCAATTTAATCGACCTTGTATATAATATGGTTTCCGAGATCCCCATGCATACACTCGAATCCTGTATGCGTTTTCCTTAACCGTAGCCAGAGCTGGGAGTAACGACAAAAAAAAGTTACTTTACTTTAACGAGTTACTGAAAGTAACGCGTTACTTGGTAACTTCGTTACTTTTCAGATTGATTGATAAGTAACTGTAACGACGTTACTTTCCTGAAGTAACGCTGGAAGTAACGCGTTACTAGTTACTATGAAACTAACTCGTTCTCTCAATTTGTTTATCTTCTTTACAAATAATTGACGAGTGAAGAAAAGGAAAATAAGTAATCCAGAAACTTTGTATGTCAAAAATAAAATGTTGGTAATACAGAAAATTTGTTTTGAAAGCTCAAAATAATCGTTTTTGGGCGTGCCACGCGCCGCCTCTGCTCTAAAGACACTATATGCAGACACTGGGGACGCTTCAAAGAGCAGGTTTGTCCAAAACCAAGTGCTCTATTCAGTCGCTTAATCCTTAATCCGTTTGAATTTTGCAAGAATACTTTTCCACATAGCCGGACTCACAAACTAAAAAAATATTGGCTTTTCGTATAGGTCTTATTTGATTGTTTGGACTGCTGTGTTGATGAGTCAAATTAAGGAATACCGCAATTTTCGACGTAAATAGTTATTTTTGAAGTAACGCGTTACTTTAAAAGTAACGAACTACTTTTAAAGTGAAGAAGTTACAGTAACGCGTTACTTTCCAATAAGTAACGAAAATAAAGTTATCATTATTCGAAAGTAACTGTAAATTTTAAGTAACGAGTTATTTTTAAGCAAAAGTAACTGTAAAGTAACGCGTTACTTTTTTCAAGTAACGATCCCAGCTCTGACCGTAGCGTTGAAATTTTCAAAGCTGCGTCAAGTTAGCCCCCCATAACCAAATTTAATAACTTTTTTGGTAGAAATCAATTGTGCTGAATTGTGCTGTCAATATTTGGAATTGTGCTGTCAATATTAGGAATTGTGCTGTTTTGTTAACTGAGGTATTTACAAAAAAGTAGAGGGTGGCTAACTTGACGCTCAGCTCACCCATTTTTTTGAATTTTGAATTAAAAAAAAGTGTTTTCCTTGAGAATCGGGATTGTGCTGCACATATTTTCCTTCATACTTTATCTCATCGCCCCATTTTTTGATTAAACATTATGGCGGGGCTAACTTGATGCTTGCAGTCTTCCCATTTTTTTGAATTAAAAAAAAAGTGTTTTTTTTTTAGAATCGGAATTGTGCTGAATTGTGCTGCACATTATTTTCCCTTATACTCTATTCCATCACCCCATTTTTTTTTTGAACATTATGACGGGGCTAACTTGACGTCTGAGAGAAAGTAGGTATGTGCAGCACAATTCCGATTCTGGAAAACACTTTTTTTAAATCACAATTTAACAAAAAAGGGTGGCTCAGCGTCAAGATAGCCCCACCAAAATGTTTAAACAAAAAATGGGGTGATCGAATGAAATAAGAGGGAAAACAATTATGTACAGCACAATTCTAATTCTTAAGGAAAAAGCAAACAAAATTTCAAATAGGTGGCGCTGAGCGTCAAGTTAGCGCTGCTATAATGTTTAAACAAAAAATGGGTTAATGGAATGGAATAAAGTATGAGGGAGAATATGTGCGGCTAACTTGATGCAGCTAATTTTCAACAGCAACAAAACTCCTTTACATCACTTAAAGTGGCGGAATCAAAAAAATTGAGTTTGCGAAAATTTGCTTATTTTGGCGATAATAAGTTGCGAAAACTGAAAATTTTCCGCTCCTTTTTTTTTCATAAAAAAAAATCGTTTTTCTTGTGGACGTTATCTGTTCATATTTTAAATTTTTTTGCGAGAATTTAAGAAATTCCATCAACGTTTACTACCTATTAAGCGTCACTTTGTATTTTTTGCTGTCCGAATAGGCTCTTACGAAATTACTCATGTAGGTATTGCGAAATTCGGACCTATACGAAAAAAAATTGTCCCTAATCAAGGAGGCGCCAAAATTATAAATTCCCGTATTCAAGACATTTAAAACGCAATTCTACTATTTTGAAATTGATGAAAGTGAATTCGAAAGTACCTACAAGTTGGCAATCTCGAACAAATTGTTGAATTGAAATAACATGTTTTATTGATTTAGGCTTACCACTTGAGATACTTGTTGGAACACATTTTTATTTAAGCTCTGGATCACCTTGCATGTACATTTACAGAACCAAAAGAATGTTCAAGAGTCTGTGCATATTAATGCTGCAGAAAACAATAATGGGTTTTCACAACAAGATCTATTGTTAAAAGATTTTTTTGAAAATAAGCACTAAAAAGAAAAGGATGATCTTGCAACTATTATATTTTAATCTATGTAATTCTCTCACGAAAACTAGAAAAGTCCATTTATACCAACAAATGACAAGGAAGAGAAAAACTATTATTATTCAATATAACAAGCGGGAGTCTTGTTCAGATAAACACAATTTAAACATTGAAAGTAAAATAAAAAAACAGTGTCAAGAATCAAATAATACAATTTTTTTTCGTGTCATTTAAGTGTTGAGAGGTTTGAGGTTTGGACCTTGGGGTGGAGAGGTAATAGAAACTCATGAAAGAAATAAGTTACTTTAAAAATAAAGAACAAACAAGCTCATAGCTATTTAATACTAAGATTTAATACAACAAACTAGGCAAAGGGAAATTTATCCTCGGTCTTTAACACTTTGCCTGTGGAAATTAACTGATTTGAGTTATATAGAGGAGATTTTTTATTTAAGTATAGTTAATTTGTTATATTATTTACTCGTTTTTATTTCTTGTTGGTTCTTCTTATCTATGTACTTCTTTACTTATACCAGTGTTTTATGTACCTACACAACAACAACAACAAACTTACATTTTAGGAAGTCTTCTAAATCAAAGAATTTACCGATAGTACTACCAATAATTCAGTAAATATTTCTCTCACTGCTATAAAGCGAGGAAGAAGCTCTCCCATTGACACTGTTTACCACAAACTATTTTTAACGTTAAATCGCCGCTACTTTCACTGTGCACTTCACTTGAGTACTGCCAGTTTGTAAAGGTAAAATGTACCAACATAAACTAACAGTTAACGGTTTAGCTAGAGGGGCATTCTTTTACCTAGGACACTTGAAAAGTAAATCTAGATTTTGCCTAGATGGATTTTTATTGATGATTAGGTAAGGCAAATGATTACCAACCAACAATTCTTTTGGGTTGCAATAGTAAATAGGTAGGTATGTTTTTTTATTGGCTAACATTGCTGATGATGGTTAGTGCAATTTAATATTTTATAATATATTTTTTTAAAAACTTATGTGAAGTTATCAGAAGAAAGCTATTTTCTAGAAAGCAAATTCTAATTTTGAAACACGTTTATTTTATTCTCTGAAGAACTGCCCTTTTCTGAGTGAGGTTCTATAATTTTACTAGGCATTAAAGTAAAAATTGCTACAAACAAAAATGAACCGTAATCCTTCATCCCTTCGATCATTTAAAATTCTAAGAACCATGTTTATTTTGCTTTCTCAATAACTGCCGATATACCAACAGGTTCAAATGAATATCAGGGATTAACGTATGAGAAACATAAAAAAAAATATATTGCAACCCACCTAACTTTCGATCCTTTAAAAATCTAAGGACGGAACTTGTTGTTGTTATTACAATCGACACCTACCAAACATGAGAACCCAAAAAAAAATGTATAGCAATCCTGCTCCCTTTCGATAATTTAAAAATCTAAGGTGAAACATGTTTATTTAATTTCCTGAAAACTTGCCTCATACTGATAGAATAATAATTATTGAAACCAAGCATTTACGGAATAACGGAAATATGAGACATAAAAAAAAATATATCGCAACCCACCTAACTTTCGATCATTTGAAAATCTAAGAGACTGATCTAAGGGTGAAACATGTTTATACCTATTTGTCTAGAAAACTGCCCAACCTGTATTCCATAAAACCTTCAGGCTAGCATTCACGGTCGTTGGGTTCGAAGAAGATAACGGTTAGTCCCTCTTCAGTACAAAATGAAACAATACCACTTCCACTGAACAATAATATTTATTGAATCAAACATTAGATCATTACTATTTTTTTATAGGGCATCGATAGCTCTCTGAGCAATCAATTATTATCCACTAAATTAATGACAATAGATGTTAGTGTTTTTTTTTTTAAATAAAAAAAATAATATGGCAAGTAAAATTGATGGCTCAAATAGAAAAAAGAATGCAATATTTATTGATATTTTCTCGATCTGAAGCTCTTCTTGTAGGATCCTCTTTCTAGAGATTCTTGTTATTATGGTTAATAGAACACCTGAGTGCTGGCGTGAAGACACTTCAACAAATCCAGTCCCCCAATAGTAATGTTATTAAAAAGTATATGAAAGAAAACAGGTATATCAGGCTCATCGCACAGTTAAAATATTCAAATCCTGAATTCTGATGGAATAGGGAATATTGTCAACGATCCACTGAAACTCACTTTACAAACACTTCTATTGAATAGACTTTGTAAAAATTCAGTTTATTATTTATTGAAACGTACACAACTATTAGGCAACACTCTATTGAACCAAACTCAAACTGATTACTACGCGTTATTCATAGTCGCAGCAAAGTACTCTGGATCCATCTAGAAAAATGTGACAGACTTTTGACTCTTTTATTGGAATCTCCTCATGTCTTTATGCCGAGACACGTTCTTTCTTGTGATTGATTGAGGTCTTCTTCTTCCTTCAATTGCTCGGATTGTGGTTATCCATGCTTCGCTGTCCTGAGCTGTTTTTTTTTCGTTTGATCAACCCAGCGCGTCGTCGTTGACAGTAGTAGATATCCCGCCGCTACAAACCATCCCCACTCCTGCCTCCTGAGGGGGCGTGGCCCCGCCCTCCTGCTGTATAGCTCCTCCCCTTTTCCCATTTATGGACTCTTTTGCGATGTTGCCCCGCCCCTTTGCCGCCATTAGGTTTCTTTGTTCGGCCAATCAGGGCTGGTCCCGTCCCTCCTGCTGAATTAGGCTCCTCCTCCTGTCCATTCATTGGTTGTTGTTGAAAATGGCGGCCGTCCAATGGTTTCTGTTGGCGGCGGCGGCTGTGGTACAATATGCCCGCCAACTTATGGCCGTCGCCCAATAGCTGATGGCGGCGGCGGCCGTGGCGGTGGCGGCAGTACTGACGACTTTTTTTTTTTGTATTTTATTAAAAAAGTCTGAAAAGTCTGGGCTCGAACCTGCGACCCCAAGATCCAAAATCAAGAGTGCTAACCACTGAGCTATCAGGGTATCTCAAGAAATTGTGTCCTAAGCTTGTAGACATCATGATGCGAGCTAATTGAGGAAAATTTGAAAGAGCGAGAGGGCTAAGGGTGAAGAAGATGATTTGATAACTTGTATGGACTTGTCCAGCTGATAATTTTAATGTAATTTGGTGTACGGGGGAAAAATAATATGAAAACTCAATTTTCAATTACGGAATTTCTTTCTTCTTTCCTAATTCCACGGTACACAAGTATGTGGCCATTATCCATATTTATGAGGAAAATTTGAAAGAGCGAGAGAGCTAAGGGTGAAGAAGATGATTTGATAACTTGTATGGACTTGTCCAGCTGATAATTTGAAAGAGCGAGAGAGCTAAGGCTGAAGAAGATGATTTGATAACTTGTATGGACTTGTCCAGCTGATAATTTTAATGTAATTTGGTGTACGGGGGAAAAATAATATGAAAACTCAATTTTCAATTACGAAATTAAACGAGATAATTGATTAAGGTATTACCTACTACTTTATTATTTTACTGTATAAACATAAATAAAACTAAAAATTAAAGTTTCCAGTGCGTACGCTTCCATCCATCGGATTGTAGGTGAGAAAAGCATCATGTAGAATAAGTGCGTAAGCTCGAATGCCCTTGTCAAACTTTTTATGAGCCTCAAACTCGACCTTTAGATCGACCGTTGAATTTTTCACCCCTTCGGGCTGATTGCTGCAGTCCACTACAAATATGGGATTGGACAGAAATTCGCCAATATCCATTATTGGGTCATTTATTTCTCGCCTATAATAGCTGCTTTGGAAGTTTTCATACGAGTCATAGACGGAGGTAATTAGCTTTTTAGTAAAATCGAGATTCCATCGTTCGTACGGATATACATCGGAATTTAAATAAAGTCTAATGTTTCGTATGTTGGCATCGGTGAACGCTGTAGAATCTTCTAGCCTGTTGTCGTGGTTTTTCACCTTCTGAAACCCAATAACAACATAGCGGGGTTTCTCCAATTGTGTAGTAGTTTTTATCGCCCATATATCGCTTGTTGTATCTCTCAAAGAGGGCAGCTCGTAAAGGTCCCATTTTCTATATGGTATCTTTATTCTAGCATTGTCGCCTCCTCTATTGATGCGTGTGAGTATTTTTAATTTTTCCTCATCGTCCGGTACAATGTGTTTAATCTTCCACTCGAGCTTCTCAATCTGGATGGTGGCCTCTTCGTCGCCAATGTAGCAGTTTTCGAATGTGCGGGCAATTATCAAAATCAGCTCATGTTTAACGTTCAAAATTCCTCTGGAGTAGTCCTCGGCGAAACCAAAGAGATGTTTTAATGGTAGTTTTCCACTGAATATACGGCTAGTTTTGTCCAATATATCCTGACGAGTCTCGCCAAGGCCCCATCCCGAACTTATTGAGCGACGAGCTTGTGTAGCTTCTAAAGAAACCAGAGTTTTCAATGTCGTTGCTATCCCGGGATTTCGCAAGCCAGCTACTTGTTCACTAGCCATCTCATAACGGATTTCATCGAAAAGAAATGTCAATGCATTGTTTGACAGGTAGCATTTCTTCAACGGATCTTTGGGTGAAAATTTCCCCTCAATGTATAAATAACTGTCGGCGATATCTAGAATTAGATCCTGAAAGTTGACGGGAATTCGCACTTCATCAGAGTTTTTATATGCTGGAGCTCCATATGGTTTATATGTATGTAGATGCGTGCTTGCCAGCGATGAATCGTAGATTGGTGTACCAAATACTGATAATTTCTCGCTCATTTCGGGGCACTTCGTAGCTCAAGTCCTATGGATCGCAGAAACTCTCTGTCTTTTTTGTTGAGTTTACGACGCTGATGACGGCGTGGTGTTCGCTGTTGAAAGTTCAATGCCGAACTAAACTTTTTTTTGTCCTCACGATTTTTTATATGCTCGTTGACACTAATTTCGGCTCTTTGTGTTGAAAGATCGAATCGAAACCCCATGGTAGTGCTGATCTATTATGGAATTTGTTTCAACTCCAGCTTCACAATAACTTTTTCTCCTTGAAAATCCACCAAGTCGCCGTTATCATCCAAAATTCTCAGTGTAAGGTTGTCAATGTACTGCAGGCCCCCCTGGCTTAACTGGTAAATATATAATATTCTGTGGTTCCTTGGTTAGCTTATAGCCGGGCGGAACGTCAATATCAAATTCGAAAAGGGTATGCGACTGTACAGAATTCAGGTAGGCCCCTGAAGTTAGATTACAATCCACTCTAATCATTCTCACTTTCATAACATCGACAGGGAGATTGGACTCGTGCCAATAATTAGCCTCTAGTTTACCTTCTCTAAATCCTAGTAGCTTTCCCAGGGATGCCTCCGTAGTAAACACTATGTCATATTTTGACTTTATTTCGCATTTAAGTGTATTGTTATTGGGCTTCAAAACGAACAATGCATTGTCTTCTTCGCCTCGCTCTAGACTTGATGGGTCGCTTATTTCTTTCAGAGCATATAAAACAGCTTTTTCTATTTCTTCTAATTCATAGGCACCGGGCTTCAACTGCACGTTAATTTCGTCTGATCCAGTATTTACAAATTTTATCGAATTATTGGTTTTATCCACGTTAAAAACCGAATTATATGAATAAAATCCCAGCAGTCCAAGTCCATAACGAGAGTTTTTGTCTAGCTCAATAGGGGGAAAGAAATTGGCACTTAACACACTGGAATGATCCGATAAAGTAAAGGTGCTAGCCATGACTGATGAGTAGTATATTAATTCCTAG